TCCCTATCAACCTATCCTTACAGGGCCACAGCAGTGTAGGGAGGGGTCCTGTAAAGGAGGAAGGGGGTGACAAAAGTAGAATTGAGTGGGAGGAGCTGCCTAATGATTTTAAGCTTGAGTGTTGAAGTGAATTTTGCATACTGGCTTGTTCTTTGCAGCTTGTTAGTGCTGAGTTGCCATTACTGCGTCAATGATGCTGTAAAATATATACTCAGTGGATCAAATAAACACTGCCAGCTGTTTGTCCTTTGACCTTACGTGGTAGACTTACTGATTACCCCAGTGTCTTCTTGACGAAAAGTGATGAGTGGCAGTGATCTGAGGGGAAACAAATTCAAAGTTAAATCAGTTTGCATTACTAAGTAATTTTGAGTTTAAGCACATTCATGTTGAAGCATCCAAAATATTTGATACGTGATTTGATCTATTTAAATTTAGTACATTCTATTAAAATGAACAAAGTGGTAAAAAAAAAATAACATGTGACACAGAAAGGAAGTTTTGATCTTCAAGGATGTCTATACATCACATTGTGTCCACCTTTTAATCAACCAAAAAAATACGGTACAGTTGTACCCTACACTGGTGGGAAAAGAGATACATGAACAATACAGGTTGAAAAGTAAGTATAACCTTCAAAAGATCCTGAAACAAACAAATTTTAACAGCTTCCGCTTGAAATACGTCAATTACAAGCAAACGTTCAATTCATAGGTATATCTTCATGAACCATTAGACATGTCGTGGGGCAGTTTTTGAGAGAAACCTTAATATAAACATGACACTTTCAAGTTTCGGTGGGTATTCTAAAATCTCAGTCATATGTTTGTTTAGTACAGGGTTTTACGGCGCTCGCAACTGCATAAGGTCATATGAGCGTGCGAAACAAGTTGGTAGCATTCGCAACAGTTCACTGCACGGTTGGTCGACAATTGGACTTTAAAAACCTAAAATATTAAAATTTCAGTCATAATAGGTTGATGTTTTTCAATACGTCTAAATAGGTCAAGACATATTTCAACAACAAATACCTTTTGAGGCTGATCATTCAACGCTTCTTGTTTCTCGACATTGTCGATGTGGACAATCCTCTGATCCTGTCGGCAATCCGTCGATGCTGAACTGTAGGCTGTCCAGGGGATAAAACGTGTCATAGAAAACACTCCAACATTTCTTGTTTCTCTATACAGTGGATATGGACAATCGTCTGGTCCTGTAGGGGGATCACTCTACTGGCAGGGAAGAAGTCAAAAAAGGCAGGTTACAAACACGACACGTGCTGGATTTTGAAAAGGGCGAAAATGAAAAAAAAAACGAATTCATTATTCAAAGCCAGACACCAGTGCAAATTTTCAATATATTCTGGTAACAATAAGTAAAACAAGGCAAAGATTCGGAAGCAACCAATATTATAAAACGGTTTGTTGTTAGAATCACATTCTTAATAAGCAATGTTCAAAGCTTAGGATTTTTTATAGGACAAAGACCAATTAAATAATGTCTTTATTGGAGACTAAATTCCTATTGAATAGTGTTCCAATAGATTATCTTTTCACGACAAATACCTTCCGAGGCTGATCACCATTCACTTTTCTTTCAACGCACCGTCGAGATAGACCGTCCTCCAGTCTGATCCGCCGGTCTTGCCGGCAGTTCGCTGGACCTCTGCGCGGTCTTCCTGCCATGTAGACGATGTTGAGTCAAAAATCCTCTTATGTAAACTAATAGCTTCATAGATTTTTAATATTCGCTTCGTTGACACTAAATCAATAAGACTAATGCTTATGAAAGTTGTTCACTTTAAATTTGTTGTAGTTTTAGTGTGGGGTTATTTTTACACCCCCCCCCCCCTCT